AATCGCAGCGATAGCGATTCACGATTAATAAATGACCTTCATCTCTCCATGATTTCTTCCTCCTTTCTCTTCCACTTTCAGTCGCGCGACTTTTTTGTGATGATTCCGGAGTCGCCGAAAATCAGTTGCGACACCAACCCATAATTAATTTTTAACTTGCGACTGTTGCTGGTTTAAAAGCCATAGACGAGCTTCTTCAAAGCTCCATGGAGAAGATGATAGATCTAATCCAATAATTCAGTTTCTAATTATTTAATTTATTTACATTTATACCTTTTTAAATTATAAATAATGATAGTATATATCTGTTTTTCAAAAGAGTCGCACGTATTAGTCGCACGACTCCCTAAAGAACAGGGCCTTTGTGTTGGGAAAGATTTGGGCATATCAAAACATACTTAATAACCTTCTTAATATATTTTAAAAATCCTTAAAATATTACCAATTGATAAAATCACTTAACCTATGTAAAACATATCAACGGCTGACTCCATCGTTATATCTGACGATATGGTAGATTGAATCACACCATCTTGTTCAAAGAAACATAAAAGAATCGCAGAAAAACTTCCGGTGACAGACAGGAAACGTTGAGATGATGCTTTAGATTCCTGCCTCTAACGTAGAAGGCAACGTGAACCGAACATTGTTTGTTCTTCCGGTGACAGACAGGAAACGTTGTCTCCAAAGGGACTCTTCCGAGGGCCGAAGTCTCAAAAGTAGCCAAATTGGGAAAATTGTTTGTAAGTCAGTACTAATGCATATGTTCATGTCTGTTGATTTACTTCTTGAAGTACTTTAAATCTACTACGTACATTAACAACGTCACTCTTAACTCTAAGAGGTGTCACAATGGGCTGGCCACATCCATTTTGACCCGTCCAATATTGTCTACCTTAATTATGGACAAATTATTGACCGTGTCCATTAACGATCATGACTATTAACGACCATGTTTCTATGGGCTGCCCATGGGTGTCCATTGGACATAATAGTACCTATTTCTTAAAATAAAGAAAAAAATACAAACCCAAATGCTTAAGCATAAAAATTCAAACACAAATGTCTAACATGAGTATCCAAAGACCAATTTGGTACAAAAGTCTAACCCAAAAAACACAATGACACAAATGTTTAGAAATTAAATTTCAAAGTTCAAACAAAATCTATTATAGGAGAGTTCTCTCTCCATCTAGGCTATCCACATCAGCATCCACCTCATTAAGATTTTTTTTTAAAATTAAGTATATTTAAAATGTTCATTTAATGCATATTTATGTACTCATCATTAAATAGAAAAGAATTAAACAAAGAAAAAAAGAATTAAACTAAATAAATAAAAATTAAAAATCCTAAAATGAATATTTTTAAAAAGTTATTAGTAATGATCATATTTCAAATGATGTAATGTGGTAATGGGATTTATGGTAGAGTAAAAAACATATACTATATATATAAAACTTATAAACAAGAAAAATTTAAAGTGAAATATTAGTTCCAAATAATGATATACTACAAAGAGTTTTTATTTATTATTAAAATTTCAGTTAAATAAAAGTAAACGATTACCAAACTCAACTTAAGAAAATTAAAAATCTATTGTAATGGTTGCATTTTTTGTGAATTCAGA